TGTTTGTGTGTGTGTGCGTGTGCGTGTGCGTGTGTGTGTTTGTGTGTCTCTTTCTCTCTCTCTACGTCTTTATAAACCTTTATACACAGATACATGCCAAAATGTGTGACACACAGCTGGCAGTCACCATGCTAAACTCGCATTGGAACCAATGACCACTGCTGGCATTGACAACGTTTAAATCTTCGTGTGGTGCCATTGTTGATGTGATGGTGAAATGGTGACTACGCGGATGAGGATGTTGGATTTCGGAGTGTTTCTGCCCCTTACATCGGCGAGACAGTCTAGCAGAGCCAGCGACGGTGTACTACATCAGAACAATTCAATGCATGTGTCATTTTGTGTCTGCATACCTTCGCACATCTGTTTATCTCCACGCACCTGCGCAAATGCATAGAGAAACTTCAGAACATTATGCAAAACCACATCTCCAAGATCTCGGGCACCTAGTTTTGCAGCTGGCATGGCCTGGGTGAGTCGCCCCAACAACACGACTGTTGATTATAGAAATCCTGCATTACCTTAAGGACCCAAGACTATGGGAATTATGGTATATTCCTTATTATGGGTAATCCAGGATTTCTATCATCAATTCAACCGTAGTTAGTCAGTCCAAGTTTGAAGCTTTAGTGGCTTAGGGGCGAATTAGGGGCTCAGGGTTTAGGGATGTAGGGTTTGGGGTTTACAATGAGCAGACAAAGACACTACATAAACTCCTACTTACTGCAGGACCTAGTAGCTCTATATCGGTATAGATACATACACCTATATGTCTAGATACTCGTATCTTTACATCTACTTATCTATTAGATGAGGCCCGCGCGAGGGCGCGTGCAGCCGGCCAGGCAGATCCTTCCGAAGGCCGGAATAGGGTTGTGCTCACCAAAACTGGTTCACACCAAACAACCTTAGAATTTTATGGGCCTATATTAATCGTTAACCCCTCGCGTCCGCTTCGGCCCGGCAGCAATTGCAGAGGGCCCACGAATGGTTCGGCTGTTGTTTCTTCCACCTCAAGGCCACCACTTGAAAGAGGCCGTTCACCGACGTGCAACACAAGCTAAGCGGCGGGGAGAGGAGCCCTAACAAGGCTATTTGGGCTATGGGAAGGGTTTAGGGGGTGTGTGCTGGGGTACAATACTGATACAATCCAAGCGCCAAGCGCTTGCTGAAAGGATTCAGGAGAAGTTGTGAGACTTCAGGAGGGTGCCCACAGCCACAAACGGGGATTTCAGCCACTCCTGCATAGGGTTGTCGTCGCTGCCATCACCTACTTCCTAGCTGGCGAGGGTGGCGTTGGTCACGACATTCTTGTTGATGGTGAGGGCACTCACGGTGAAGACGACGATCGCTTTGGGGGTGATGGCCAAGATGATGTTGAAGATAATGGAGGTGCTGGTCAGGTTGATTCTGTTGGTGGTGAAAGAAAACGGCGGTCTGGCAATGGCCGCGTTACTATTGCTGATGCTGGTGACTCTGATATTTCAAGCTTGCGGCTGGCATGACGTGTGACTAAACGAGTGCCTCGAGGCTCAGCGTCGGATTCGAGCTCTTAACGAGACAATTCGAAAAATTCTGTCCAGGCCCCCCTCCTTCTGTGAAGCAGAGCAGTGACATGTCCTGCCCGTTGACACCCTCCCCTGCCATGCTCCCATTGGCTAACATCCCTCCTCCTTGCAGAGGCCTTGGGCTTGGTCCAAACGCGGGCCTCGGCCGCTTGGCTTTAAAAATGTACATATATAGCATATATATATATAAACATATATATATATATGTATGTATATATATGTATATACGTATACACACACATACATACACACACACACACATACATGCATGCATGCATGCATGCATGCATACATACTTACTTACTTACATACTTACATACACATAATTTAGTGTGTGTATATATATACACTTGTTTGTTTATTATATCGCCAGCTAACGAATAACAATAAACTTGTAATACAAGTCGTTGGTCGGGTTCCGTAAGTCAGGGTTGTCTCTTCCGCGGTCGTGGTGGCAAGGCTTTCACGGTGAATTTCGGAAGCGGCTTTGGTTTCTGGGAACTCCTCGGGGATGCCTGCGCCATCCGTTCGGACGTCGGGATGCCGAGGATGCCCATCATAACTTCGGAAGTTCAGGCCCTGATGGCTCGGACCCCGAAGCTGCTACAGTAGAGGGCGCAGTACCCACGCACGAAGGCACCGATCGCACAGGACAGGACCAGTCGCCACAGATGCATGTCGAGATGCAGGTACTCGACCTAAATCCTCAACCTGAAACAAGCCGACACAGAAGAGGATGGCAGGCATTTCCTGTGCCGGCCGGTCATCGCAGCGGAACATGCATCTATTATCTGATGTTGATGATGATGATGATGCCCATTGTTACCACTCTGCCCCATCGATATCCACGACCTCCGGAAGCCTCAGGGGCTGGGTAGGTGGCCTTGAACCTGTTTCGGCAACTAAATTCGCCTCTAAGAAGCTCTCAGGAAAGGGCCGGGGACGTGGCCTCGGCGGAGGCTTCGGGAGCTGGCAGCATTTCGGCGTAATTTTGGAGAATTCTCAGAGGCCTGATGAAGGAAACGTGGACATACAATCCGCCTCATGCCCCCTCGTTCTGACTGTGACCCCCTTTGTCACTGTAATGCCGCTTGCCCTCCAACCCCTACTAGGGCCCCATTTTAGGTTTGGCTTCCTTGATGTCGCTGTTTTTCGCACGACACAGGAGGCATCTCGGGAATGCATACGATGTAGGTCTGGGGGTAAATTGGGATAAGAAACGGAATGCTGTGACGGCTGTACGGTGTCGGTGAACGCAGTCACTGCCACTGGGCACTTTGCACTGCGCGGACTGACGGATTGCATCGAGTTCTTGCTGCTGGGTTATGGATTAACCGAACTTCATTGAACTTCGCCGAGCTTATACCAAGCCTGCGAGACGGCAGCCCTGTGAACCCGAAACTCTTCATTCCACTAAACCTCAGCAGCACGGGCAGTACTAAACATCAGCAGCAGCAGCAAGAATGGCAGTAGTAGCAGCAGCAGCAGTAGCAGTAGCAGAAGCAGCAGCAGCAGCAATTGCAATGGCAATGGCAGGCGCCAAGGTAAAAGTAGGAGCAAACATCCGAATTATAATCATGACAGAGGATATTCTTATTGACTTATTGTTGTAGCAACAATAGTAATACACCTAGTACTAGTAATCATGAACCGAAACAATAACAATACTGATAGAAAAATCAGCATAAAGAACAGTAACGGCAACACGAACACGAATAATTAGTGGAAGCACGACACAACATGAGTGCTAAGACTCATACTCGCAATAACAATAGTCATACTAACCATAGTATCAATGATAATACCTAGCTATAACAATAGTAATACCAAAAGCTTTCAACGCCAGCAAAGGCTTGGCCGAGGTGGCCTTGGAGCTCGTGGCCTCAGTGGCGGTGGCCGTGGCGGCTTTGGTCGGGGAATGCGCCCTTGGCTCTACTTTGGGTTTAGGGTTCAGGGGTTTAGGGTTCAGAGAGGTGCATCGCAGCCCCATCTAGGGTTCAGAGGTGCAAAGACGGTTTAGGGTTTAGGGGTTTTGGGCTCATGAGCTGGATGTCTAGCAACGAGTCTGTCAGTCTCTGTTCAGCTGCAGCAGAAACTTTTTATGTCCCGTTCGTTCAGCCGATTCTTGGGTCCGATGCGCTTCGCTGGTTTTCATTGAAGCTCACATGCCTGTGACCCATCCTTTGATCGATCGCTCCCCTGCTTGCAATCAGGTTCGGTGGCTGGGCCGGCGGCGCTCAGGCGCTGTCTCCAGGCCAGGCGACTCCATGGGTAGAGCGGACGCAGCATTGCGTTCAGTGCGGCGACATGACAGGTGTCCTTGTCCGTCTTTACGGGCTTAAGGCAAAGCCCGAGCTGAACGGCATGAACTTTGGTGGAATTTAGTCATGTTCGTGGAGACCGTAGTAAATTCCCAGCTTCGTCGGTTGACTGTCATGCTGTATAGCTGGTGCCAGAGTGGCTCCTTGTTTCCAATCCCTTTTCGCGCCAGTTAAACCTGCTGCAGCAACATCAGGAACATTGCGGTTGCAAACCCAAGCGTGTATCAGACCTGCATGTGCCACCTTCGTCGAAGTCTGTGATGTAGCTTGAGGTTGTTGCTAGCGCCACTAGGCCTCAACCCCCCCCCCCCCAGATGGATCTTGATCTAGTGCCACCTTGCAACAAGAGCGTGTGAGATGCCCAGGATCGGAAATTGCATTTCCTTCGACAAGAACAAGGGAAGATGGCAGGTCCGCTTAGAAGATAGACCTGGTGCAGACTCTCGGCCTCCCTTAAATCGAGCCGGGTCCGGATTTGGG